GAGGCGGGCAGATGACTAGAGGTCAGAGAGTTCGAGACCACACTGGCTGACATGGTGAAACCCTGTCTCTACTGAAAAAACAAAACTTAGCTGTAAATGGTGGCACATGCCTGTACTCCCAGCTACTCGGGAGACTGAGGCAGGAGAACCACTTCAACCCGGAAGGTGGAGGGTACAGTGAGCCGAGATCGCTCCATTGCATTCCAGCCTGTACAACAGAGCGAGACTCAGTCTCTAAATAGATAAATACATAAAAATTCAAAGCCTGAAACTATGAGAAAATCCTGCGTGAGAATCTAGCAAATACCATTCTCAACATAGGCTTTGGCAAAGCATTTAAGTGTCAACTCCCCAAGAGCAATTACTGATAAATGGGACCTAATACACAGAAAAGCAGCTGCACAGAACAAGAAACAACCAAAAGAGTCAACACACAGCCTATAGAATGAGGGAAAATATTCCACAACTACGCATGTGAAAAACATCTAATATCCAGGATTTATCGTAAAGACCTTCAACAAATAAAATCAGAAAAAAAAACCCCAAATTATAAATGGGCAAGGGACATGAACACACACTTAAAAGGAGGTGTACCAGTAACCAATGAGAATGAAAAGATGCTCAATCTCACTGATCATCAGATAAATGCACATCAAAAACATACTGCAATACTACGTCACACTAGTCAGAATGACAATTATGACACACAGTCCACAACAACAGAGGCTGGTGGGGCAGATGAGCAAAGAAATGCAGGTTCACTGTAGGGGGAAATGGAAACTAGTTCAGACACCCTGGAGAGCAGTGTGGACATTTCTGAAAGAACTTAAAAGAGAATAACCACCCAATGCTGTAACCCCACTCCTAAGGATCTACCCAAAGGAAAACCCTTCCATCGAAAACACGCATGCACTCGTATGTTCACGGAAGTACTACTCACAATGGTAAAGACATGGCACGGAACACTACACAGCCATAAAAAACAAATCCATGCCCTTACCAGAAACCTGGACAGAGCCGTAGGCCATTATGCCAAAAGGCAAGAACAAAAAACCACAATTTTCAAAACAGCCACAAAGGTCAGTTGTGAATATTCTCTCCACAGAGAAATCATAAGTCTGGAGCTCACAGAGATGCCAGACACTGCGACTTCATGATGATGCTACGTTTACACAGATCAAACTGTGCCTTGCAGTCGCTGGTTATACACACAGACTATACGACAATGAAACTGCTGTCCCAGTTTGGTAACATTCATTCTCACCAGAGACAGATGCTATCTCAGTGTGGTTTTGATTGACTTCTCGTGAGGATCAGTAATGTTGATTCAGAATCTTTAACCTGTGCATTCATCTCAGGTCTTCAGGTCCATTGCCCAGTCTTACACAACAAATTGAAACAAGTTCACACTAACCTGGCAAACATCACTAACCACAAGCAAAATGTAAATCAAAACCACACTTAAGACACCATCTCATTCTAATTGGAATGAGTGTTACAAAAAAAGACAAAAAACATTGAAGGAAAGGGAAATGCTGGTGTGTTTCCAGAGAGAGAGAGACACTCTTCTCCACAGTTCGTGAGAAGGTAAACTAGCACACACGATACAGAAACCACTTGGAGGTTCCTCTAAACCTTAAAAGACTCCAACTACCACTTCAACCAGCAATTCTACTACTAGGAATACACTCAAAGTCATTGAAATCAGGACACCAAAGATAGATCTACCCACCCATGTGGATTCCAGCACTGTTCCCAAGAGCCAGTGTAAGCATCAACCTACCTGCTTATCCACAGACGAAGGAAGAAAGAAGCTGTTCCACATGTTCCCACTGGGATACTCTTCAGACAGAAAACCACAATGAAATCATATCATGGGGAACCACACGGTTGCACCTGGAGGAGATGATGGTAAATTAAATGAGTGAGGGGGAGAGAAACAAACCTTGAGTCATCTCACACATGCAGAAGCTGAGAAACTGTATCAAAGACTTCATGAGCACAATATTGGTTTCCAGGGATTGGGGGAAAAGATGGGTAATGGGCAGGGATTGTAAAAGGGTACAAAGTTACACATAAATGAGAAGAAGAAAATTCTGTTGTTCTATTCCACTGCAGGGTGACCAAGGTTAACAGTATCGGCACATCACTTTCAAAGCAGCTTGACAGGAGAATACTGAAGGTTCTCAGCATAAAGAAATAAACAATGGGAAAAGGTAACAGAAACACTAAGTACCCTGATTTCATCATTCCACAATGTATGCATGGACCATAACGCCCTACTCTATCCTCTCATTGTATTGTTCCTTTACAATGCAACACATTTGATGAAAGAAATAGAAATACACGCTGCTAACATTCACGTGGGACCATGAAGTGCCCCGTGTTTCATCCTCCGCAATCCTGAGACATCCAGACTACATTGGACACATCACATTTCCTGATTTCAAATTTCATGGAAAAGCTAGGGACCCACTTCCACACAGAGCAGTGGAACACAAGAGAGGACCAAGAAGTAAAACCACACATTGAAAACTATCTGATCCAACACAGAATCCACCAAAGTAAACAAAGGGAAAAGGACACCCTATTCAATCAACGGTGTTGAAATAAGCAGCTAGCCATGTGTAGCAGAATAACACCGGGCCCCTACCTCTCACCAGACACAAAGAGGAAATCAAGATGAATAAAACATATAAACATAAAAACTCAAACTATTAAAATCCTACTAGAAAACCTATGAAATATCCTTCTCCACATAGGCTTTGGCAAAGCATTTAGATGGCTAAGTCCTGAAGAGTAACGGCAACAAAAACAAACAAAAATTGACAAGTCAGAGTGAATAACTGAAAGAGCTGCTGCACAGCAAGAGAGACTACAACAGAGTAAACAGACAGTGTACAGAATGGGAGAACATGTTCCCAAACTGTGCATCTGACCAACATCTAATATGCAGAATTTACAAGGCTCTTCAACAAGTCAACCAGGAGAATAAACAGAAAAAGAACATCCCATTAATATACGGGCAAGGGACGTGAACACACACTTCTCAAAATTCGATGTACAAGCAACCAACAAATAGGAAAACAAGCTCAAACTCACTCATTATCAGACAGCTGCCAATCAAAAGCATGACGAGATGCCATCCCACGCGGGTCACAACGGTGAGGACCACGCAGGCGAAGAACACACGCTGGCCAGGCAACCGAGGAAAGGAAACGCTGGTACGTTTTGGTGGGGATGAAAACTAGTACAGACACTGGTGAAAGCAGATCGGGGATTTCTCAAAGAAATGAAAACAGAACTACCATCTCACCCAGTAAGCCCACTTCTGTGCATCTACCCAAAGGAAAATCAACCCTTCTATCCAAAAGACACAGGCACTCGTATGTTCATGGCAGTATTATTCACAATGTCAAAGACATGGAATCAACCTAGCCATCAACAGTGGATGAGAGGCAGGCACAGTGGCTCACACCTGTAATTCTAGCACTTTGGGAAGCTGAGGCAGGAGGATCGCTTCAGTCCAGAATTTGAGACCAGTCTGAGCAAAATGGTGAAATCCCATGTCTCTGATAATACAAAAATAAGCAGAATGTGGTGGCGGGCACCTGTAGTCCTATCTAATCCGGAGGTTGATGTGAGAGGATCACCTGAGAACAGAAGGTGGAAACTGCAGATCACTGTCATAAGTGAACTAAGGCCCCAAAAGAAAACCAAATGCCACATGTTCTCACTTATAAGCGGGAGCTAAACTGTGAATGGACTCAAACATAAAGAAGAGAACAACAAACACCTGGAATGACCACCAGACCAATAAAAACACAGGGGAGAGGGAGCGTGTCCTGAAGACCCACCCTGTGGGCCCTCTGCTCACTGCCTGGGTTACGGGGTTGTTGGGACCCCTAATCTCAGCATGATGCAATCAACAGATGTAACTAACCTGCATGTGTACCCTTTAAACGATAACAATAAGAGTAGAATGCATTAAAAGAAAAATCCACGGTTACAACCAAAGACAATGCAAGGCTTGGTTCCGTGTGTGTGCGCACGTGCTCACACACGCGCACGCATGTTCATGTGTTTCATGGAACTGGGGTGTTGAACACAAAAATCACTGCTAACATATGCAACTATAGCCATATGAGACTCGGGACACTTTGCAACTTCTACACGGAAAAGAAAACAATGAAACAAAAAAAGGCATCCTACGCACTTGGAGAAACTATAAAATATCCTACCCCTGAAAGAGGTTGTTATCTAACACGTACAATAAACTGGTATGACTAAGTGAAAAACAACGACGACAACAACAAATATCCAAGGTAAAAGGATCTAAACAGACCTGAATGAAAAGAAGGCAGGAAATTGACTCACAGGTGACAATTTCTCAATATCACTAATCCTCACAAAAATGTGAATCAAAACCATACTTGGCTACCATCAAATTCCACCTAGAATGAGTATTACAAAAGACAAAAATCAACATTTTTGAAGGCAATGGTCACTGCAGACTTGTAAAAAAAAAAATCTTCTACACTCTTTGTGGAATGAAAATTACCATACACACTACAAAAAACTTTTGGAAATTCCTTAAAAAAGTAAAAGATAGGCCAGGCACGATGGCTCACACCTGCAATCTCAGCACTTTGGGAGGCTGAGGCAGGTGGATCACCTGAGGTCAGGAGTTTGAGACCAGCCTCACCAACATGGTGAAATCCCATCTCTACTAAAAATACAAAAATTAGCTAGACGTGGTGGCGAGTGCCTGTATTCCCAGCCACTTGGGAGGCTGAGGCAGCAGAATCGCTTGAACACAGGAGGCAGAGGTTGCACTGAACCGAAATTGCGCCACTGCACTCCAGCCTGGGTGACAAGAGCAACACTCCGTCTTTTTTTTTTTTTTTTTGAGACGGAGTCTCGCTGTGCTCCCAGGCTGGAGTGCAGTGGCGTGATCTCGGCTCACTGCAAGCTCCGCCTCCCGGGTTCACGCCATTCTCCTGCCCCAGCCTCCCGAGTAGCTGGGACTACAGGCGCCCGCCACCACGCCCGGCTAGTTTTTTTTTGTATTTTTAGTAGAGACGGGGTTTCACCATGTTAGCCAGGATAGTCTCGATCTCCTGACCTCGTGATCCACCCGCCTCGGCCTCCCAAAGTGCTGGGATTACAGGCTTGAGCCACCGCGCCCGGCCAACACTCCGTCTTTAAAAAAAAAAAAAAAAAAAAAGGAAAAAACCATTACGCCAGCTAACAATCCCAACACTGGGTACATGTTTAGAGAAGATGAAATCCCTGTGTTATCTGCCTTTTCACGTGTCCTGAAGCCCTAGTCACAATAGCCAAGATGCGGAATCAACCTACCTGTCTATCCACAGATGAAGGGATAAAGGAACCACAGTACATATACACAAGGAAACACACATCAGCTGTAACACTTCAGGAAATCATGTCATCTGCAACCACTTGGAGAAACCTGAAAGACAATTAGGTGAAATGAAACGAGTCTGCTAGGGAGAGACCCACACTGCATGACATCAGGTATACGGAATCCAAAAAACATTGTCTCCTAGAAGCAGAACTTCCAACAGAGGTCACTAGAAGCTGGGGAGAGCAGGGAGCCTCGGCAGGGATTGGTAACAGGTACAGAGTGACGCTCTGATATGAGGAATCCATTCTGGTGTTCTATTGCACAGCAGGGTGACTAGGGTCAACAGAATCTAGAAAAATTTTTCAAAATCAGCTGGAAAATACGGTTCTGAATATTCTCTCCACAGAGAAATAATAATGATGGAAGGTCACAGAGATGCCAGATATGATGATTTGATGATACTACATATACATATGTCAAAATGTCCCTTGCACCCTTGGGTTGTGTGTGTGTGTATACACACACACACACACACACTCTATAGAAACAAAACTGCCATCAAACATTGGTAGTATTCATTCTAACTGGAATGAGATGAAATCTTGAGTGGGATTTTCACTTACGCTTTTGTGTGAATCAGCGATGGTGAGTATCTTCTCTGTGACCTGTGCATCAACCTCATGTCTTCAGGTCCTCCGCCCAGTACTACACAACAAATTAAAACAAATTCAGAATAACGTAACAAGTACCACTTATCATACACACACAAAAATCAAAAACACACTCAAGATTCCATCTCACTCTACATGCAACGGATGCTACAAGAAAAATGGTGAAACACATTAAAACACAAAACAAGGTGTGGATTTCCAGAGGAGGAACCTGTCTCCACAGTTGGTAGGAAATGGTGAACTAGTATGCACACTAAAGAAACCACCTGGATGTACCTTGAAATCCTAAAACTACAACTACCGTTTTCTCCAGTAATTCTATTCCTAGATACATATGCAGAGCACATGATCAGGACATGGAAGAGATGATCTGTCACCTCAGGTGGAATTCAGCCCTATGCACAAAAGCCAAGACAAGCAATCAGCCTCCTGGTCCATCCACAAATGAAGGGATGAAGAATCTCTAGTACACAGACACAATGGAATACTTTTGGGCCATCAACATTCATGGAATCCTATCATTTCCACGATAGGATTGCACCTGGAGTGCAACATGACTACACCTGCAGATATTCTGTTCAATCAAATCAGAAATGCAGACAAAGACCAAGCCTGCATGTTCTCACTCATGTGGGAGCTGAAAAATGCAACTCACTGAAGGTGAAAGTATAGCAGTGGTCATCACAGACTAGGTGGAGGAGATGACATCAAGGATTGGCAACAGGTACACAGAGAGTTACAGGAGAGGAATACATTCTGGTATTCCACTCCAAAGCAGGGCGATGACACTTAACAACATGGTAGTGCCGTTTTCAAAACAGCTACCAAGGAGGATATTGAATATTCACACATCAAAGATATCAAACCTATACCTGGTCAGAAGCATGGGAAACTCCCTGATTTTATCCATACTCAAGGTATACAAACAAGTATCACAATGTCCCAATGCACCCCTAATTCTGGACATGAAGTATGAAACAAATGTTTAAAGGAATGTGAATGATACACGGCTAAAATTTCACATGGAACTACCAAACACCCACAGATCCTGAATATGCAAAGCAATCCTAGGGAATACAAGCTCAATTGGAGGCCTCACACTCCCCAATTTCAAATTACATGTAAAACCTCCACTCACCAAAGACTACAGTAGTGGCATAAAAATGAATCCATGAACCTAGGGACATAAGAGAACCTAAACGCACGCCTGTATGCAGTCAACACATTTTCTTCAAAGGAACGCCTAGAAGATGTAATGAGGCGGGTGCTGTGCTTCACACCTGTACTCCCAGCACTTTGGGAGACCAAGTCGGGCAGATCACTTGAGGTCAGGAGTTTCAGACTAGCTTGGCGAAAATGGTGAAATCCCATCTCTAGTAAAAATACAAAAAATACTAGTCAGGTGTGGTGGCGCACAGCAGCAATCCCAGCCACTTGGGAAGATGAGGCAGGAGAATCACTCGAAGCAAGGAGGCAGGTGTTGCAGAGAGCTGAGATCTCGCCACTGCACTCCAGCGTGGGCGACAGCATGAGTGGGACTGTGTTCCGAAGGGAAAACAGATGAGATGAGGAGTCAGCAGTCTGTTCAATTGAGCAGTCTGAAATGACTGGATAGCCACATCCAAAACAATGAAATAAGACCTTGATGTTATACAATAACAAACATAAACTCAAAATACATTAAACACTAAACACAAGACGTAAAAGCGTAAAACTGCTACATGAAAACACAGAGTGAGCTTATGTTTAGGAAATCCTGAATCTAAGCTCACAGGATGTAAAAGCAAACAACAGAAGAAAACAAAAACAGAAAAAAAAACCACTTCCAACAATCGAAGTTAAAAATCCTGGTATCTGGGAAAACAAGGCAGTGGTGTGGCAAGAAGGGAGCTCCAGGCATAGGAACCTGCAGCTTGAGAGGGGAAGGGACCTGCCCAAAGCCACTCGGCAAGACAGTGACCTGTGACACCAGGAAGGCTGTGCAAACCACTTCCTGCAACTGGCATGTCATTGCAGACACACCCCACTGTCAGGTCCAGGAAGCTGACCACACTGAGTTCCAGGAATCACCCAGAAAGCCTCATGCCCTGAGTGGGCCATGGTGAGGGCCACGGCGGGGCAGAGCAGGGTGGTGGGCGCATGGGGGCCTGATATCTTCAACTGCAGTCATGAGGTTGACAATGAGCGAGCAATATGGATGGGTCCAGATGCAAGCCGTGCCTGGCCCATACTCCAAAACTGCTGGAACAACATCTCAGGGACCTCTGGGAGCCAGAAACCCAATAATTATCCAGGACATTTTGTGTCCCCTGGTGTCTTGCACCAAGGAGACACTTGGTAAACTGGCTAAATGAAACTGACTTCAAATCCAAGCAGCATAGCATTTGAGGCAATATTAGGATCACAGAATCTTAACTGCTTGGTCTCTGATCTTCCAGCATTCCAGAAAGGTCGGCTTAACATACCTTCCCCAATGGGGAGCTCGCTACCTTCAAAGACAGCGGGACTGTAGTTGGTTGGCGAGTTCTTCCAAACCTTAAGTGCGAATTTGCCTCTTTGTAACACCTGCTGCAGGTGGGCCTGGCCTCAGATCCTGCCTCCTGTCTAAGGCCACAGAGCAGAGAAGCAGGGACCACCCCAGATCCTGTACCTGGCCACAGCCTCTCTGAGCCACAAAGACCACACTGAAGGGATTTTGGAAGGAAGACTTCAGCTCAACGAAAGAGCTGGTGTCACTCAGTTGTGATGGAGGGAGGTCAGCCCAGGCCAACTGTGGGCATGGGCAGAGCTCCTGTGCCCCCAGAGCATGGCCAACACCCCCAGTGCCATTTGCAGCATTTATTATTCCAGCACCCACCTTTCATGTGACGACACAGACTGGAGCACGGTCAAGTGCGTGGGTCCTTCAGAATTGTCAGCTTGTGAATGCCTGGGAGCACCCAGCCACAGGGCTGGCCTGGCACTCGGCGGACCAAGTCCAACTATCAAACTCAGAGGCAGGATGGCAGAGGCATGGGCCCTAGAGTCTCTAGGTTCAAACAACCTCAGCCACTGACAGTGTAGGTATCACTGCAGCCTTTCCCTTCCTGGCCTCAGTCTCCTACCTGAAGAGCAGGGATGACTAGAACAGTTGCTGGGAGGATTCCCTGAGATGGCCACGCGCAGACTGTAGGAGGCACCTGCTACTTTCAAGGCCTCACAGGGTCTCGCCAGGCTCTGACCCTGGGCTGTAGGAGCTTCTCTCCTTTCCTGATGAGCAGCTCAGAGCAGGGGCCCAAAGGGCGACCCTCCTGGCCACCCTCTCCTCCCTGCCCAAGGCATCCTCCACAGGTAGGATTTATCACATCACCTCCTAATTATCTGCAGTGCCTCAAAACTCCAAGGAGAGGCTGGGGGTGGAAGGAGACTGTCCATGCCTCAGCCCCAACGCTATCCTACAGCCTGTTCTCCAGGAGAGCCAACCCGCTCCTGTCTCAAGGCCTCCCTGGTGATGCCCAAGACCACCTGTTCACACACAGCCCCCCGTGACTTCACTGATGCCAAAACTGCCCAGCACTTTCCACGCATGCCATGCTCTCATCTGGACTTTTGAGGACCTCCCCCTGCCTCGTAGCAGCACCTTCCCAACCTCCCTTGCTTCTTGGATGCCGGGCTCAGGAATGCTCTCACTGATGAGTCTGCGTCCTGCATCCTGACTGGTCCTGTCCAACTGCTCCTGCCTCTACACCGCACTCACAGCCTTATCTGACCCCCAGTCCCCAGGGTCCACCCCTCTCACCTGGAGACTCCCAATCACAGGTCTCAACCCCCCTGCTGTTTCCCTACTACAGCCCTGGCAATCCGCATGGAAATCTGAGCACACCCCTCCCCCACTGCAAAAAAAACAAAAAACAAAAACACTCCGGAGGCCCCCCTTGTCCTACCCTGCTGATGCCCATGTTGTTTTTTGTTTTGTGGTTTTTTTTTGAATGGGTCAGCTGGATATGAACCATCCTTTCCTGTTGCTCCTTCCTGGTCTTTGGGACTTTACACTGACTCCATTATCATGGAGGCACTCTTCAGACACCAATCACAGTGCCACCTCCTCCTCAAGCCCTCCAGCACTGCAACCCACTCTGCAGGCCAGCTGCTACTGCTGCCTCCTCCACAGTATCCACAGTGCCCAGCAATCTTCACTGAATGGATGGATGCCAGCTGTCAGGTGGTTAGCTGTTTTTAGTAATACACATCCTTCTAGGACTTTACACTGAATCTACCTAGCCACCTGACAGCTGGCAACACTTATCTTGTAATCCCAGAACTATGGGAGGAGAAGGTGGGTAGATCACTTGAGACCAGGAGTTTAAGACCAGCCTGGGCAACATAGTGAGACCCTGTCTTTAATTTTTTAAATTTTTTTTAAAGGCCAAAGAAGACAGGATTTGGGGAGCTTCATGTGGAGGCTGACAGGAAGGGATCAAGAACTCACCCATGGCCAGGCCCATTGGCTCATGCCTATAATGCCAACACTTCGGGAGGGCGAGGTGGGTGAATGGCTTGAGCCCAGGAGTTCACCACCGGACTGGGCAATATAGACAGACCCCATCTCTACCCCAAAAAAAAAAAAAAAAAATTAGCTGGGCGTGGTGGCACATGCTTGTGGTCCTAGCTACTTGGGAGGCTGAGGGGGACGATCACTTGAGCACAGGAGGCAAAGGCTGCAGTGAGCTCAGATAGTGCCACTGTACTCCAGTCTGGGGAACAACAAAAAAACCCAACTCATTCACGTGTCCAACTCTACCAGGACAAAAACTTCCGTACTTGGGAGTCTTCCAGTCTTCACCTTATATTATCTCTTCATCTGACTGTTTATTTGTAGCCTTTATTTATCTAGTTTTTTGTGATCCGCCCATCTCAGCTTCCCAAACTGCTGGGATTACAGGCGTGAGCCACTGGGTCCGGCCTGTTTTTTAAAAATAGTATTTTATTATTTAAAACAACCCTTCATTGAGGTATAATTGAAACACAATAAAGTGGACATTCCAAGCATTACTG